TATATCTATATATATATATATATATATTAATGCATTCTATCAAAGATATCTTACGGTTTTCGACGCTCCAGAGATTAAAATAAATGAATGAATAAATAAATAAAACTTCTTTTATTGTCTTAAATAAAAACGCCTCTTTCAAATTAAAAAGAAAAAGAAGTTTAAGTGATGAGGCCCGCAAAGAAGAAAGGAAAGAAAAGAGACGGGTGGTTAGCTGCAAATCAAGAAATTTAAGGGGAAGGTGAAATGTCAATCTAACAAAGAATTGCAGTAATATTGCTCTGTTCTCTTTTTAAGATCCAACATTATTAAATAAACCGGACAAGTTTTGATGATTGACAAAGCAATATGAAATAGGTAAGTCAAGTTGGTTCAATACAACACTGTCTCAAGGAATTAAATTCCTAGGAAAATCATAAAATGAATAAAGACAAATATGCCGAAATCAAGGAACAAATAATGTTATTTTTTGATAAACTCAAGAAAACAAACCTAGGCTTAATTGAAGAGTTCGAGATCGATTATAATATAAAAAAATAAAGGAGTTTGATTTGAAGGAGTTTTACTTGAAATAGAATTCTAAGTCGAAAGAGTTTCAGTTGATGGGGAGTTCATAGCGAAACAGTAATTCTCTGAAAAGTTGTGCTTAAGTAGAAGGGCAGTCACTTAGATGAGGTCGTACACTTACAGGAGCCCCCCAAAAAAGAAAAAACTACGTAAATGAGTCATAAAACTCAAAATAATTACATGTTCATACCTCAATCCAAAGTAATTCAAGAAATAGCTATTCTTTCAAAATAATTTACAGTTCATACCCCATTCATTAAGGTTGATAATTTTTACTTAACTAATACCAAATTAATATCATATATTGTATTAGTATCATTAAGGTTGATAAATTTCGCTTAACTAATACTAAATCGGTATATATATATTGTGTTGATATCATTAAGGTTTCTTGTTCAGAAATTACAAATTAGTCAATGATACTATAAGAGTATATGTATATTGTTGTGGTACCATTAAGGTTTCTTGTTCAGAAATTACTCATTAATCAATGATACTGTAAGAGTATATGTATATTGTTGTGGTATCATTAAGGTTTCTTGTTCAGAAATTACTCATTAATCAATGATTACTGTTAAGAGTATATGTATATTGTTGTGGTATCATTAAGGTTTCTTGTTCAGAAATTACTCATTAGTCAATGATATTATAAGAGCGTGTATATATATATATATATATATTGACTTAGTATGAATTAAGCGAAATTATCAGCCTTAATGATACCAATACAGTATATGATACTGAGTATCAGTTAAGTGAAATTAGTTGGGGGTATATAGTGTAATTATTTATTGGGGTATGAATGTAAAGGGGTATATGTTTGTAATTATTTTACTTTTATAGGGTATTTGCTTAGTTTTTCCAAAAAAGGCAATTGAAAAATTAGAGTCTCGTACTGATAACGTGCTAAATAATAAAAATAAATGAGAAATTAACACGTATAGTATTTTTCTTTACTTTTGTTCTTGCATTTTTTTTATGGATAAACTATATAACTACGCATACATCACTACCATATATATTATATTTACCTCTACTTTAAAACAATCACACATACTATCACTTTTAATATTTATACCATATATTTTAAAAGATTTAATCAGATACACAAATCCCTTAAATAAGGGATTGAATAATTATCTTAAATCTAAACTCCTAAATTAATGGTCCATTAACAAGTCAAATTCTCTTTTTTTTCACATCTGCCGTTTCATCCATATCTTCACTTCCACCAGCGCTCTTTCTTCCTTAATTCATCTTCTCCCTCTTTCTTCCTTCATCCTCTCAATACATGTTTGCATATTCAAATTTTGTTTCTATTATTTTATTATTCTCACGTATTTTGATTTTGTATCTGAGTTAGAGTTCATAATGTTATGAAGTTCAATTTTAAAAAAAATTACAAATTAGATTTTATATTTTTTTTTATTTTGTTGTTTCTCAAACACTTTAATGGTTGAACATTCCCAAAATCGGATGATTTTCATTAAAGGTACTACACATTAACAATACTATACTAAATCAAACAACTTTTATTTGTTCATTTTCACTCATGAATTTCTCATTGCAGGGACTGACTCTTCATCCGCCAATATTCAAGTCAAGAATATATCTAAGTATAGGAAGACCCAATCAAGATATAAGAATTACGTACGCCAAACTTTAATTAACAGAAAAAATACAGCATTAGATGCAAATCAAGTGCAACAATGTTGGATACACATCAGATGTACATGTATCTAGTTAAGAGTTCATGTATCTGAGTTAAAATTATATGTATCTATGAGAAAAAAAATCAGATCCTTAAAAAAGGGAGAATTTTGAATTTTTTTACTTTTTTTTTGGATTAATGATAAGACAAATACTGCACAGTCGTAATTTGTTCTTAAATTTGTGTGTTTCAATTACATTTCATAGTTAGATACACATAATTATATGTGTGTTTACTATGTATCCGAAATACATGATTTTCAATATAATGTATGAAATTGATACTTGATACATCAAATTAATAATAGATACATATAAAAGATACATGAAATAAAAATTAGATCATATAAATAGATACATGAAATTACTATTATATTATATAAATAGATACATGAAATTAAAACTAGACACATATAACAAATACACAAAATTACTATTAGATATTTTTATGATACATATGAATGTACTTGTATGATACTCATGTATCTAAGTGTTTTGTTTGTTGGATACATCATATATTGATAATAGATAAATCAAATTAATGAATTTATTATTTTAAGAGTAATAAAATGAAATTAATCAAATTGCATGACAAAGATATACATGTTTTTGTCTTTTATTAATAATATTAACGAATTTATTATTTCAAATAATAATAAAATGAAATTAATTAAACATAGATACACTCCTTAATTTTCGCCTTATATTAAGGAAATCAATTACAACCAATTAATTTAAACAACTAAAATACGTATCTCGATTTTAAAATTCGATAGATACATATATCTCACGGATTCAAACTCATGTATCCTAAGTATGAAATATGATAGAGAAAGTAATATTTAAAACCATCGAAAATCTGAGTAATTAGGACCTAAATTAATGGGATTTATGTAGTTTGCCTTTTTTTTATTACAAGAAGAGGGATATATATACATGCATATATTTAGGCACAAAGTATATTTTCTGAACATCTATTTTACAACACAGAGTATAAAATGTGTATATATATGTTACAACACAACGTATATTATGTGTAGATGCATTTTACACCACAAAATATATTGTGGGTACATTCCATGTTACAAGATAAAATATATTTATGTAGACACATTTTATAACAGGAAGATGGAGTAATTATTTTATTAAAAGGGCTTTTGAATAGAAAATGAGGGGAAAAATTCAAAATTATGAGAAAGTAGATAAATAGTCATACTAGCCTATATTACTTTACGTTAATTTACTCCTATATAGAAATGCGACTTGATGGGACGAACAAAGCATCCCATTATTGTACAAAAAGCAATTAAAAGTGTAGGATGAATTTTTTTCCTTTCTAAGCAACAAACAGAAATACACAGTTGAGTAGGTACTCTTCGTTTTTCACAATCTCATCCAAACCCTTTCCCAACTTTGAGGGTTTCATTGTTCTGATTCACAAGCACAAAAATAAAATAAAATAAAAGTCTGAACTGTGTATTTCATTTGATTTTATGATGACAGAAGAGGGATTAGAGAGGGAAAAGATAAGAGAAAAGGTGAATCAACGTCTATGAACTCCATAAAATCAGGGTGGGTATTTCAGGACGATCTGTAAATCAACTTCGCGAATGGTTGAATTGTACTTAACTGTTATTAAAGTAACTCAAGTAATCAATCATTTCTATTATTGTGGAAGTTGTATGAGGTGAAGGTACGGATTTTTGTTTTCACTTTCTTATGTTATTTTGTATATGAAATATGGATCTTTGTGAAAATAGAACTTTGACTAGATTATAATGGAGGTTGTATTGGATTTTTCCGCTTTTGAAACAATTGAACTTTAGAAATTTAAATTTTCCTTATTTTCTTCCTCGAATTTCCATATTCTTCGCTTTTGAATGGTTACAAGGAAATGTAGTTACCAATCTTTTAGCACAATGAAACTTCTGCCAGAGATAAGTTAGAGGTATTAGCTTTAGTAACATAAGTTCTTATATTTCACTATGTGAGAAAATCATTGTATTAGTTGATTTCAGTTATAATATCATCATCCATGTGGATGCATGTTCTTAATGTTTTCTTCGGTGATTCCTCTCAATTTTTCTAGAAGGATAACAAGAATGATTTGATAATAGAGGATGAAGAAAGCATGAAAAAGGACGATAATAAAAGATCATAGACCATACACTTGGAATGAGGGGGCTTCCGAAGGGCACTGAAGATACAAAAGAGATGATCATATGTTTTGTTGACACTGGAATGAGGTATCCAATTTATAAGACTGACAATCGATTTTGAAGTTAAAGGTTCCATGTAGTAGTACTAGGACATACTCGGATACACGAATGGTGGAATGAACATTACTACAAAAGTTATACCATGTGCAGCTCTAACAAAGTCCTATGAACAACGTCGTTTTTGTAAATCTATAGGGATAAATTGGTTGTACTTCTTTCTGCATCATAAAGTCACGTGTAGTTGATTAATACAACTGTCTTTCTAATCAGCCCCAGTCCAATCTTCTCTCTATTATTTTTAGATTGTTCTGTGATTTCTGCACTTCTATTTTTGGTTGTTCTTTAATTCCAACTGGCTTACCTTTTTCATCTATAATCTAAAAAATCATTTGATGCGGTAACTTTTTCGCTCTGGTAATATTTTTCTACCGTATTTCTTTGATTACTGCACTTTATTTGTAGTTAATCTCCATTTGATGGGGTATATGTTAGTTTTTAATTCTCCGGTGAATACTTCAACTATTTTCTTTTTGTAGTTGAAACTCCCAATCGAAGTTGTTGTAACTATAGAGAAACCACAAAAAGAGCTTTTCTTCTTGGCTTGTGATCAACTGTGATGTTTCACGGAGCTTTCCAGGTTATTTCCTTACTATTTTTACCCTTCTCATTATACTGATGGATTTACTATTCAGGTGAAGTGCACGTCTTCAAATTATTTACTGTCATTGAATGTATCATATACTTTCTTGGATTTTCTACTTAATGCAACATGAAAGAAGTATAAATTGGTCTCGGCTATGTGGTAAATCAGTTTGCTATAAATGTATATTCTATTTATATTGATCATGTGTAAGGTCTTGATAATGTGCATAATTTGTACATAATTTTAGGTGGCTTAAAGGGTAGCTTACATTTTGGACCTTTGGATACCTATATGGGTAATATTAGCAACTTGAATCAGTAGTCAAAACAGGTTAGAGCTTCAATACTTTGTCCTTAATATACTGAGGCTGTTGGGATTTGTCCAATTTTTATTTTGGTAAAATTGATTCTTTTAACCAGAAACATTTATTTTTTCACCGTCAGATATCTCTCATTTCGTTTATATGTACATCGGTTCAAATTTGTTTTTGTGAAGTACTTCCTTCAAATATCCTTTAGTTTGTTTTGTGAAAGTTTAAAGTTGATAGATTCCAAATTTGTGACTGCATTTGGAGATATTGACTATTTTTATATGTAAAAGAGGAAAGGGAGAATGCAAAATTGTGTTTCCCCTACTCTTCTTAAAACTACTCTTTCAACAGAAATAGTAGTTGAAGTTTATTTCTTTGGTTTCATCTATACTACGTACATTATGGTTTCCAAAGAAAGTAATGAAATTTAACTTACGATATCTACTGGTTTTGCAACTTTTTTTATTAACTGGATAATTCAAGAGTTTGTTGTACATTGTCTCAAATGATCTTTCCAAAAGCTGATTTGTAAATCTGAATGATCATTCTGAGTAGCAGAGTTGCACTTCCTCAGTTGAGGTGAGGAGTATATGATACCCAATATTTTAGCGCCAATGACAATTGCAGTCATCTGTTCTTATGATTTAGCATGTTAAAAGGTACTACGATATCTTATTCTCTATATTGCTTAGCTCAAAGCCTAAATAAGTGTTTGTAGTGAACAGAATATCAACTTGCTCATCTGTAAATACCCTTCAAGAAACTCTTCAATCTTTTTAATGACTATGAAATTCACAGCTATTTCAGGGTAATAGCATGCAAATCACAATTTTAAGGTAACCACATTAAACAAGTCGTGTGTGATGAGTTCGACCGAGAAAGCATGTAAGGAGTTTCGAACTTGAGACCTCTCATTTGGGAGGTTCCCCGCTCCTCATCAGGCTCATGGTCGGAAGATTTCAAGTTCAAATCGTGTCCCCACCTAATCAGTGGAGTTACAACCAGATAAGGAATGAGTACTCTGTTCTTATTTCATTGTACATTATATTTTTTGTCAGCCATCAATTAATAGTCCTAATTATATAGAAGATATAATATATTTCCTAATTTTCCAAATATTAGACCATCGCTTCTTGTAGGCCTCTTAAATTAGGCCGAAGAGAAGGAAATGAATTTTTAGAAAACTCAAAAGGTGCAAATTCATAGTGCACTATTGCAGACACTATCAATTATCAGAGACTTTTTCACCTTAAGGCTCTTTGAAGACTTTTTCAAAAGTTTTTAGCAAAAAAAGCAAAAACAATTCTCAACGCCCTTACGAGGTAGTGATGAGTTAAACTACTCGTGTTGGCATGGAAGTCAGCCCGGTAAACTGATTCCATTCTGCTACTAGGGTTCCAAACCTTCCCCTGAGCTCTAGAATCTAGAAATACCTTTTCAACTCAAGCGGATAAGATCCAAAGAAGTCTATACCTGCAGATGAAAGAGGAGCTTCTACGTGAACATTTCTAACAATGGTTTCTCCTCCAACAGTCAAGTAACTAGCACTGGTTATTCCAGCTTAGGCTTTGTGTTATTATTCAATTATAATGTCTGGTTGCGTTGAACATAATACCATATTCGAGGAAATTCTTTTTCTCTTTTCAGGAAAGCCACTGAAGAATTTACGAGTTACTTTTATAGGATATGATCTTCAATTAATATTTTATCAAAACATAACAAGTGATGACTTAGGTGAAGTCTAAGCCGAGCTTACTGTTTACCTTCCTTCTGCAAAAAAAGAGAAACTTTGAAGAGGGAGGACTTCTACGTGAATACATATACTTCAAAGGGCAGAATATAACACTAATGGGACAAGGCCAAAGTGTCGTTTACTAATGGGAGAATATCACAAATGTTAAATATAGCTTGTGCTGAAAGTAATTTAGGATGTTTGTACGTACAGGTGGTTGTGCTTTTCCAGAATATCTTTTTTGTTGTTATTTAAAGGTATGAAAAGTCAGTGTGTCTGTAGAATGCATACAGTCTATTGATCGTCTCTTTGGTGTCATTGAAGTAATAGCCACTTTCTGCAACTTATTCGTATGAATTTCAGTGCACTTACAAAAATTACTTGAGCTAAATTTTTGAGCCTTCAAATCCTAACGATTTGTTAGAGTTTGAAACAATAAGGTGTTATTCTCCTTTCCCTTTCCTTTTATGCGTTTTTTATCTGCTCTTCTTATATTGTGTAAATATATTTTTTTCATGTGAAAGTATAGCTCCTCAGGTGGCTCTTGCTTATGATAACAATTTCAATGCATTTACCTTGTAAAATTTGCCTTGTGTTGCAAGAACTAACTTGGACTATGTCATCAGGTTCTTAATTGCTTATTATTGTTGGGACATATGTTTTTCACGCTACCACATAACTCTCATTGAGTGTGCGTGCTACACAATTAAATTTACATTATTGTATCACTTATTTCAGATTCTTGAAATGAAAAATTTATGTTACATAATTTTATATATGAACTTAGAACGACACTCACTTGGACTCAAATATTGTATTAGACAACACTGATTATGGAGTTGGGTTTAATAGCCAACTTAATTCTGGATATTATTCCTATTGTTTCACAGGTTTGCTTATTCATTAAAACTTTTATATCGATATAGGACAATGTTAAGAAAAAACGCAAGTAATTATACATCTTTCGCATGTATAATAACTATATTGGGCCCGTGCTAAGCACGGACCTTAGCCTGTCTAGTATATATATATATATATATATATAATCCTAAAAAGTCTTTAAAATTACTTCAGTTTTCTTTGATATCGTTAAGTAAAGATAGTTTAGTTAGAATATAAAAAATGTTTAATCATGAATTCTAAATATTCTTCTCAAGGAAATATGGTCAAACATAACTTCAACTTTACCTTCAAAATTTTCAAATAAAGTAAATAATATATTATTTTCATTGACGCCTATGAAGGAGAATATTTTCTTAAGAAACAAGTCGATTTTTACTTATTTTTATTTTGTAGTATTTGATAAATGAGCAAAAAATATTATCTCAAAAATACTTATATGTAATCTAGTAAAACACGATAGGAATGGAAAAAAGTAGGGAGTGGGGCCTCAGTGAGCGAAGGGTGAGACGATCAAGGGATAAGGGTTGAGAGCATCGGCTGAAAAATAAACACACATTATAACTTATGAAACTTGTTTTCCTACCAGGAACATTTTCCTCATTTTTGAAAATTTTGTTTTCCAAGAGAAATGTTTCCCGACCAAAATAGAAAAATAAGAAAACATTTTCCAGAAAAGTTATCCTCCATACAAAAAAAACACCCTGAATGTTGAATCTTAACATATTGTTTTCGAGCTACAGTGTTGCAAAATTACAAATGTATGGATTGTAGTTACGCGTCCCTCTTTTTAAAAAAGGGATACAGAACTATAGGTGATCAACTTTTATTGATTGAAAAACGCACCACAAAAACATGGCAAGGACATTCACATCAACAACAATGATATCTAATACAATCCGACAAGTAGAATCTAACAAGGATAAGATATACACAAATCTTATCCTTATCTTTGTGAAGTAGTTGTTTCCGATAAAATCAGGGGAGGACCCACGTGGTCTTCAGGGGGTTCACCCGAACCCCCTCGGCAAAAAAAATTACATTGTATGTATAAGGTAAATTTTCTGAATTTATGTAGATATAATAATTTCAAGTGTAAATTTTATAGATGTCATACATTATAGTAATATTTTCAAGTTATAGCAGTAGATTTAGACTTTCAAGTTATAACATTAAAACTTTCAAGTTATAACATTAAAAATTTCAGGTTCTAGCAAATAATTTTTAAAAAAAAACGTTTTTTAATGAAAACAGGTAATAAACTGAAATTGTGGTGTTAATTTAATTTGAATTTATTGTAGATAATTAATAAATAGCACGAATTAAGGGATTTAAACTAATTAAGATTATTTAGTAACCTTAATTCACTCAAATCAGTTAAAATCAAATAAAAATTCAGATTTTATCTTCTTCTTTTTTTAACGTTTCTCTCTCTTCAATTTGCAACAAAAAATTTCAACGTTTCTCTCTTCAACTTTCAACAAAAAAAAATCCCACATTAGAGTAATTGAAGTTTTTTTCATCTTTGAAAATTCTTGATTTTGTTGTGATGGACAACTACGTATCAGTTTTAATCAAACATGGTGAAAGATGGGATCCTTCGGGTTAGTATTTATTATTGTTTAACGTTTGTTTTAGAATGATAGCGAAATGAAACAAAAATGATCAAACTGTCGATTAATTGAAGGTGGAGTCATATTTTGTTAACTGTTGATATCATATTATGTTTACTGTTGTGAAATGTAAAAAATTTAGTGTTTTTTTT